TCTGCATCAAGCGGCATGAATCTCAGATGCACTGATCTCTGTGAAACCTTGGGCTATGAGCCCCCGCGCTGCATATGACGGTGCTCCTGACCCAGAACAGGCAGAGCACATCACCTGATCAGAACTTCGGCAAGGGTGGGTTGCTTCAAAGCAAGGAATGCACCACACTGTCACCACACTGGTTAATTGCCATTCGGCTGCGAATGGCGAATCGAAATGAATCGGGGCCGCACCCACAGAGGAGAGCATTCGTTCAGCCCAGTTCATAAGGCATTCGGCTCGAGACGGCGTCCGTTCACTCGGGTTTGCCGTAGTTCCAACTCGAGCTGGTGATCGCGATCTTGCCCTCGTGTCCATGCGCAACAAGCTAACATCATGGAACCCTTGCTTGTCCAATGGAATTACTTGTCTGCTGCAACAACTGCCCAGCCTTCTTTCCGGCACCGGACGATTGGTCCATTGCAGCGCAGTGCGCAAAAGCATCTCTCTAATATCTAAGATTATATTATATCATACCTAATGGAAGGGACTTGTGTTTTACCTTGCCAACAAGTTTCCAAGAATGACCCTGGATTTCATTGAATTTGCCGCCCACTTGTCCCAAGATTTGTGCTTCCATCCTACAAGCAAGCGAAATCCTGCCAAGCACTTGTCCCGAGTTTCGGGCTCAAGTCGGCTTGAACATCAGGTTTGTCCAAGCATTTGTCCGGTGATTTCGACCTCACACGCAGGTCTGTCCAAGCGTTTGTCCGGACGATTTGCCTGGATTTATAGCGGATTTGACCCAGATTGTAAAAACCTATCTTCGTATGGAACTGCCCGCCGCAATAAATGCCGCGATATTCCTGGACAGAACACCTCGACTGGGCATTGCGTCGTAGTACGAACCGGACCCCGAAAGAGCTGGGTCCCGCGTTGAAGTGGTGCCTGGCGCACTGACAGCTGTTTCATCCACTGTCCCGGTTCCAGCACGATGTCATCGCCGAGAGAAAGGACCTTGTTGTCGAACTCGAGGACCGCGCAACAGATTGGTATCAGACGTTACCGACGCACGTCCAACAAGCGTACCAACATGGCGAATCCGTCACCCAGATCCCCGTTCTTATACGTCTACTACGCCTTGTTCGACCTCCGCAAACAGAAGTTCTACACCGAGAATTTTCGCAGGGATTCCCTCTGATGGGCAAGTTTACTCCAGGTGTCAATTGGCACGTGCGACAAGACAAGATAAATACCTCGAACCCGCACCGATGGAGGAATTCACGAACTGCGACTACATCCGCGACAAGATCGAGAAGAACAAAATTGACGATCATTGGGAACTCATGCAGGAAGAGATCATGACTGAAGTCAAGATGGGGCAGATGAATGGCCCATCTACATCACCGGATTGGTGGCCAACTCCAGCGGTGGCCCCACACCGAGAACGAACTCCTTCCATTACCGCATGACGATCCCTTCATTGCCCTGGCCTTCAGCATCGGACACATGAGCAGCGATGGAAAGACGAAAACACACCGGGGAGAAGATTGGCGACGAAGTGGACACAACGCCACGTGCGTTACGCGCGACCAACCCTTCCATCATACCCCGGACAACTTCGTGTCTCCGGTTTGGCTTTCCTTGAACACGGCAGTAACACCCCCCCTGAAAGTGTGGGGACATGACCACCACGACGCACACAGACAGTTGCCCCTCAACGATCCTCGAGAGACTTATGTCCACTCCGATGGGGCCGACACTTTGGAGCCACAACGTCCTGCTCTTCGGCTCCGCAGCCAGCGTCTGGTCACACAATCGGTTCGGTGATGTCCTCGTTGCTTGTAGCCGAACCATGGTTCTCTCGCCGGCGCTGCACTACGTCGATGACTGTGGATCCATGGAAGATCAAGCAAGCGTCTGCAGACAGCAGTTCTCGAGCGATCGAGGATTACAACGGATGCCGCAAGATCTCCATGAAGCCGAGTAAACGACAACCGCCGGAGGTGCAACATCGGATTCAGGGCGTCCTCATTTCATCCGATTCATCCGATACTGAGAACCTGGTGCTTACTCCATGCCCTGTCCGAGGGAAGACAATGTGTCAGCAGATCGATAAACACCTACAAGAGAACCGACTTTCTCCAGAAGAGGCCAGGAAGATGGCGGGCAAGTGTAATTTCCTCACCGGACGTCTCTTCGGGAAAGTGGGGCGAGCGCCCTTGAAGGCCATTTACGCGAGAGCCACCTCCAACACACACAACGTCGACAAACCGACGCGCTCCTCGCTGTTAGCGCTACGGGGCATCATATAATTTTGCATTGCAGACCGATGACAATCCCGAGAAACCCAGTCGCACACAACTACGGCGTCATCTACACCGACGCTTACCTCAAACTGGGAGAAAGGATCTACCGCCCAGGCGACGACGATCTCCCCATTTGGGACTCCGACTCAACGAAGGACATAGAGAATGGTTGGGCAGCAGTGTGTTTCCACCAAGGTGATGTGCACAAGGCTGCTTATAAACTTCCAAGGGTCCGATCTTCTACGACAGTTTTTTGTCCTATCAGGCTTTCATTTACCTCCTAAGCATGGGCTGCCATCTTGGCTCCCTTGGTCTTCGAACCATGGTTAGGCAGCTTCTACCTCCAATGTTGCGACAACGAGGCATCACGGCATGCACTTATCAAGGGCGTCGGCAAACACCAGCCCTTGACGTGTCTCATTGCAGCTCACTGGACTTGGCGCAATAGGAGAGGGCTTTCTCGTCGGTTGGAACGCGTGCCGACCAAGGCCAACCTCTCCAATGCCATCAATCGATTCGAGGACATTGATCAGGCCAAGCAGTGGCTGCGGATTGACCTCGCCATGTCATCGATCACAAATCGTGCTCCTAAGATCATTGGTGACGTCGAGTTTGCGTCCAAGGTGGGGTTCACGGATGTACCGGGCATCGACGGTTTGCATCGAACCCTTCGAAGTAGAGACCGGTAAGGTCTCGCGGCGTTCGCCTCCGATGGGAGGACGCGACCACCACCGATGGGAAACGGTCCGTCCTCCGGTACATCGAGAGACTATTTCTACAAGAAGTGGAAGTCTCCATTGGAGTCTCCATCGATGAAAACGATCAGACTCCGATGGAGTCGAATCGCAGAAAACGCCACCGAAGCCAAAGCAGTTGGAAAAGCCCGTCAGTCAGGGATCTATGCATCGATAGTGAAAGCGTTCGTTGTCCAGCAAGATCGCGGCCACGAAGGTTGGTCTGGCTCACGAGGCTTTGGGAATTATGTCTTCGGTCGATTAATTTGATCGGTGGTGATGCCAATATGGCCGGTTATCGGGCTACAGGGCGCAATCAAGAATCCATAGACATCAGGGGCAGCATGTGCCAAAGCACCCTTGATTACTTCCTGGAGGCCGGGACGGAGAGCCCAAAGTGTTTCCCGATGTGCCACCCTCGAGTTCAGCATGTTTCGGCAAACAGTGTTTGTCTACTCAAGCCACTGTTTCTGAATGGGGTCACTCTGTGGACCACGAGCAATGGGCTCAAGCAACTCCTGGTCAACTGGAATACAAGGTCGGCGTTTCCGCCGCTAAATTCCACCTCGACGGCTTACCTCCTTGGAGACGGGGACTGGGGACTATGACGCTCACACTTTCCTCATCGAGGTCCACGCGAACCAGTACACGGGTGGGAGGATGAGAGCGATGAGCCGTAATTCCGAAACGGTCAAGGAAGTAGCAGACAGACGAAAGGCGGAACAAGGGGCAATCAAGGCTCGTGGATCTATTGATCCTGCGCAGCCAGCACCTACAGGAACAGGCCTTCCATTGGGAGAGGGAATTTTTAGTGCAACTGCCTCTGGTTCGCAACGTCCAACCGAATCCGCGCAATCTCTTGGCGGAAACGCAAAAAGTGGCAAAGGAGGCAAGTCATCCAAGGGCAAAGGAATGAACTGAGTAGATTCTGACTTCGGGTCGGAAAACCGACTTACGGACCTGCACCTCGCGTTCCTGTTCGGCCTGATCCTTTCGCTTGCCTTCAACCTGTTGTCGTCTACCAGAATGATAAGTACCGTGGGCTTGGCGATGGGATTCGTGAACGCAATTGGGATCATGATGCTGAGGTGGTTGACCAAGTTCTTTCACGGAATGCTTCTCACAGAGGAAGGTCTCCTTCTTTACTGCCTGCCATTTCAAGTGAAGATGCAGTTCTCAGGCAAAAGGTACTTCCAGAACGTATTTGCCAAAAAAACAAAAGACATACTTCTCACTGGAGAAGATATTTTATCAGAGTCTCGAGGCGAAATCCATGCCACATCTGGCACCAAGTGGAGCTAAACTTTACATATTTTGGTGCAGCAAGCTTGTCATGTGGAGAAGAAAATGAACAAGTGGGCAAACTCTTGAGCAAGAGTTTTTAACCGAAGATCCGTTTTCGTGTGTGTGCGTGTTCTGCGTATTTCAGAAACCTGTCTCCAGGCCGGGAATGTACACATTCTCGCAATTTAGTTTTGTGGTTCAATGTGTTACTCCTCTCTTAACCAACAACAGGCAATGCAGAATGCCGACTTCACGGCCAAGCAGTTCTACGTGTTTTTAAATTGTGCCTTGTTGAAACACTGAATGTTACACGTCCAGGTGGCTGTTTGTTTCACGTGTCACATGCATATAACTGCATGTATCTGTGCCTGTTGCTCAATGTTCTAGCAGAGTACTGATCTACAGCAGTGCGCCTGTAGCAAAAGAGACACCTGCGTTTGCCCGTGTTCCTGTACGCTCTGCGAGGGGATACACGCCCAGGTTACATCTCGGGAAGGGGGAGTTGTGCTCCCGGCACAGCAGAAGCTCTGGACATCGGGTTGCCAACCCGACAGTTGGTGGGTCATTGGGGGAGGGGTTAAAAGTCGGGGAAATAGGGAATCCCCGCAAGAAGCTCTGACCGCTTGCCACTGCAGCATCGTTGCGCTCATTGCTGGACAAGTTCACAACTGCCACGTGACGTCAGCGGCGTCAGGTTGGATGGCTCCACATTTTAACGGTTTCGAAGCTTGCTTCGCTGTGTCTTGGCAGGAGTAGGAGGGCAAGTTGATGTTTCCCGGAATATCGTGTTTCGTCATGTTTTGCTCCTATACGGACGAGGCGATCAGGACCACAATAAATTGTTTCCCGCATCCGAGTCTTGCATTCTGGTTCTTCGACTTGGGGAACTGTCAGGTGCAATGAAGGTGTACTGAAGTGTTTGGCGAGGTGTTTGTGTTTTACGACGAAGTGGTGAATGGTAATGTTTGCACAACTCCGTCTTTGCCTGCTTCCGGCAAGTCTCCATGTGATCCGCTCAGAGAGAATAGCACTCAAGCAGCAAACTTGTCATTCGGCACACCCCAGGGCTGCATCCGGCTTGACTTCACGGTTATTGACATCCATGGTCTGTACACAGGGCTTGGCATGAACTTCCAAGTAGGTCCATAAGCTGCTCTGGCAACGTTGTGTTCTGAACCACGTTCAAGATCGGAGGGACGTTAGTTATGAGGATTCCAAAGTGAGCACCCGCACTGCTCCAGCCAGGCCCGGGCCCGGAAGCAGACCGGGTCCACACCTAATTAGCTCGACGATGGATAGTTGCACGGCTCGACGCTCAGGTTTTGCAAGGCATCAAACTTGCAGGGGCCGTTGGCTTTAGCCAGGGCGGCGGCGTCGCAGCCCTGCTGGACCAGCTGAACATTCAAGTTAGGTGGACGTTGATGGGGTTGACTTGTAGAGAGAGTGTTGAGTCCGTTGGCCGATGCATTGACTACTTATAGGCTAAGCAGCTAACCCCATGCTTACAACATGCTTGTGACAAGTCGAACAAAGCCGTCTTGTCTGCTTAGCTCCGTGATTTTGTCACAACCCGAACCTGTCCCTTTGATCCAGGAGAGACCCAACAGCCAAGACTTCCCACAAGCTTGAGACAGAGACAACTGTGATGGAGGACTGTCCCTGGCTGATCCTGTGCTCACCCGTTATCGGCCCGAGTTTGCGAACGAGCAGTGCCAAATGTCTGCTGACGTACGACCCTACGGAGGAGACTCTCGGAAGCAATCAGGGCTTGGGTGCGAGGTGCTTCAAAAACCAACCAAGGCTGCGACGAACGCCTTGCACTGGTAGCTTATGTCAAGTGTGCCGATCCAGAAAATACGCTCTCACGCATGATGAACAGAAGTAGGTAGCTGCAGAGTGGACGGGAAAGGGTGCTCACCCTGGAGCTGTGCACTAAGCCAACCAGGACTTTGCGCGGGTTGGCTTTGGTTTTCGGCTCTCCTTATGAGCTTACAGTGCGGTTTGGTTGCAGCACCAGGCTCCCAACGGGCTTCTGCCTCGTGCCAGTGATACAGTGCTGTCCCCTTCACGCAGAAGTTGCAACCAAGGTATGTCGAACAGTGTGCCTCGGCTAGCAAAGTCTAGTCCCGCAGCCCTCCGCAGCCACAAAGCCGATAACGTCGTCCTGACGTCTCGTGAAACCGGAATTCTGCAGTTGTGAAAAACTCGTGCGATCAGCCGCGCCTGTCATGTGCAGCCTGTGCGCTAAGGTTTGGGGGTCGGTGAACGATTTTCCAACAAGCGCGTGCACACGCACTGCCAAGGCAGGACTCAGTCAAGAGTGAATGTTGCACCATGCTGCACTGCACGTCGCGGCTGGGCTTTGTCACAAAGACTGCAGTGAGATTGCTCAGCACTGCAGAGGGTTTTTTTCTGGAGCCCTGCAAAGGCCACGTCATTCCCAGTGATCCAGGCTTTGTAAATCTTTTTGTTGAAATAGCATCATCCGCGCGATGAGTCGGCGCGAGGACAAAGCTTTTAATTATTATTTTGCAGAGCTGCGCAAAGACTCACAGCGACAGAGAGGCTGTGAAGGAAGCAGGTGTTTCGGAGTTGGAAGGAATCGTTGGAGCAATGCGAACTTGTTTCACTATCCCGCACTGACACAATGTTACGGACTGCAGACTTTGAAGCAGCGTGATTGTCGTTACACGAAGTCGTCACAGTCTGGCAAGTGAAAGTGTGGATTCCTGAAGACCTCGGATGTCCTTTAGCCAGGATGTTTGCTGATGCACGCCTTCAGTGGTTAACTGCAGAAGGCTGGCGGAATCCCGTGTTAAAAAGGAGGCTCCAGACAATTGTCCACATTGTAGCCGAGACGGGCAACTGTCGACTGTACCTCGGTTGAGTAAATGCAAAAATGCCCTGCATATCTTATGGATTCTCATGGTCATCCCCAGAAGGGAGGAAACTGGGTGGGAGAGGGCAGGGTCCTGTGATCTGTAAGGGCAAGTACTGATTAGCTGAGCCCCGAAGCATTCCGATGAAGGCTGCAGAATGCCAGGTCGAGGATGATGCCGTGTGGAGAGAAAGAGCCATACCAGAGTCTTGTCAAATGCCCTTAATGTCAGGCAGGTGTCATGGGAGGGAGAGAGAGAAAGGGTGAGAGAGAGAGAGACGGGGGGGAATCAGAGACATACACATGCTGAGGTACAAAGACATATCCAACACAGCACAACACAAGCAGAGTGGAGCAAGCCAAGTCCATGTCGACGTGGAAGTCAGGTAGATAGGTAGAGTGTCAACCTTCGATCCTATATCTATGTTTGATGTGTTTCAGTGGATACATGTGTGCATGCGCACAGGGGATCCGACATCCCGAAGCATGCGTCTTGAAATCCCCTGATCCAAACATGCCCCTGGAATCTGCTCAAGCATGTCATTGTGATGGTGATCCGACAGATCTGCAGAGACTGGAGGCGACAGATTATGCGGCCAATTGCAAACTATGGTGCAGCGAATTTAGCTTGTAGGCTGTTCTACCAGCCTGCCTGTAAGTACGTGCATATCTGCGCATGCATGTATATAATTGGGTATCTTGCTGTCTGTCTTTTTGTCTATCCATCCATCATATCTAGATTTGTCTGTCTATCTGCCTACCTAGCTACATACCTACCTACTTAACAACCCACCTACCAACCTACCTGCCTACCTACTTACCTACCTGCATACCTACTTGTATCGATCTTTCCATCCAACTATCTGTCGATATAGCAAACTAGCTGACTATCTACGCTTCGAGCCATTCACCTGCCTAACTGCAATCCAACTATCTAACGATCTAACTAGCTGTCTTTACTTGTGTATGTAGGTAGGTAGGTAGGTAGGTAGGTAGGTAGGTAGGTAGGTAGGCAGGCAGGCAGGCAGGCAGGTAGGCAGGCAGGCAGGCAGGCAGGTAAGTAGGTAGGTATGCATGTTAAGGGTGTGCTGTATTGTGTTGTATGTATGTATGTATGTATGTATGTATGTATGTATGCATGCATGCATGCATGCATGCATGCATGTGTTTACGTACGTATGCATGTGTCTTTGTATATGGGCATGTCTGCGCTCGGAGTCCCCATGTCTGTCAAAGCCGCGGGCAAAGCTCGCAAAGCAGCCTGGATTTGTTGGCAGTCATGCCTTGTTGACGCAGATCGGAACTCTCAGGAAGTCAACGCAGCTTTGCCCACCACCGCAGAAGTTCATAACAGCGCATGAGAGTGTTTGGTTACTGTGCGCGCAACCGAGGCTGACGACAGTTTTCCCCACCTCATCCCGAAGGGATGTGGGTTCATGATGCTCCATGGCAGGTAATTGGGTTCCCAGATTTCGGGTCCCAGGCTGAAGGGGGCAGCGACCTAAGCTTGACCGTGCTAATTTAGCATCATCACCATCATCATCATCGCTCTCGTCGTCAACCTCCCCCATTATTATCAAACTCAACCTCATCATCGTATATTTACGACGACCCTGGATGACAGTTTTATCAGGAATGTTGTTCTTCAGACCTTGCAGCTCACATCGTTGCACTTGGCAAAGGGTCGATCAATTCTGCTTTGGCCGAGCCTCGCGAGATCTTTGCGACACGCGAACCCTGTGCAAAGGTTCATGGGAATTGTGTTCAACCAAAGCTTCCTTGGCAATTTGTTTGAGGACTCTGGAGTGTGGGCCCTGGAGTTTTGCCAGCGACACCTGAGTTGTTGAAGAGTGTGGCAAAAGTTGTTGATGCTTACTGTGTGAGACGGTGTGGTACGTCATTGCGCTAGGATTTCAGGCGCACCGCATAATTCCTACATGCATTCTATGCACGGACTGCGCGGGATTTCATTCAAGAATCACCGGAGCCATCCGGTGCCTACAGCTGCTCGGCTTGGTAGCCTATGCTGGACTCTCTTCCAGGCCTGCGGCGTGGAGAACACCAGAATCTGCCGCACAAGCTTTGCCGACTCCTCCAGGCAGCTTCGGCTACAGCGAGCTTTGGAGATTGCCCGTCCGGGCAACATATCTTTTTTCAAAGTTATTGTACCACTGCTGCAGCGCTTGCTTTAACCTTCCCTTCTAAGGTTCAAAAGAGGCCACCAGTCATATGCCGTTTGATACTGATTTATCTTGAACAGGTGTTGAGAAGGACCCTTTGAAGATGATTTTCTTGGGGAAACAAGAAGCAAGGCCTGCGAGCACCCTCACATATTGACATGCCAAGAGTTGCAGGGAGGACGCCTTTGGGACCATTGTTCCGACTATTCGTGCGAAGTGTCAAAGGTGAGCGGTATAGGGAGCGACTGAACACGAGGTACATAGAGTTGCAGATGAGCCGTGCGACCCGCCTGGGCGATGAAGACAGCTCCCTCCGCACTGCCTCCACGCAGGCCCAGCGGGAGACTGCATGCCCCACTGTCTTACTAGTGCTCCGCTGCGAGGCAAAGTTGCTGCACAACATCGAGACTCTCATCTGCAACCAGTTTCGCAATTTGGTGCCAGACACATAGATGGTGCTGCTGCAGAAGCTACGTTAAGTCGATGTTAAACCATGTGCGAAGCTAAGAAGCCTGCCGTTCCTGTAACGATCTGTTGCGGAGGTTCCTTCAAATGAAGAAGACTGCCTTCGAAGCGGCCTGCAAACAGCCAGGCCGGGTGTTCGAGCGAAGCGTTGTTGTTCTGCGTATACAGGGTGTGCCTAGGATTCAGGGTAAGGAACTGGGAGGATTCAGAATGTGTTCCTTGAGACGATGGGTCGACTCGGGTCCACGGGTTACGTTGGCGTGGTTCACCGTGAAGCAGACCAACACGGGCTCTTGACTGCAAGCACTACATGCAGGCTTGCAAACCAAGCTTTTCATGAGAGTGTCCTCTTTCTGATCGCAGACTGTGGATAATCCGAAGTGGCTGGTAGGCGTCCGCTTGCACCAACAACTCGTACATGGCACGCTGCCTCTTACAGTAGACTGACCACCGCCTTGATTTTTGCTCGGCACAAGCCTCAAGGCGTCATACTTTGCGCGCTGTGCATCATATCGTGGATCCTTGGCAGCATCCGTCAAGAGCGCTTGCTGCATACTGAATAAAATTAGTTCTCTGAACCACCACAGGATTTGCAGGGTGCGGACACCCCTGCTGTTCTCAAATTCTCGCCAACAGATTTAATTTTACGTGTGCTGCAGGCCTGACATACAAGACCAAAGACGACATAGTTCCTTGCATCACTGGCCGAGGAACCTCTGTGGCCTCTGCGTGCGGCGCGAGCTTCGAAGCATCTGGCCGAAGCAGGGTGTACTCCCAAAGGCCTCCGTCGACAATCATGTTGCGCCATGCCGCACTGCAGTGGGCGCACTTTCGGCAGTCTCCAGTTTCATCATGAAAGCCAGGTCGCTCTTATGGCGGCCATGGTTAGCAGTGCTTCGGCACTGCCACACACAATCCGCATCTTGGCAGCCAATCGGGAGCATTCTTCGGCATCCTCGCTCACAAGAAACTGTAGGTGGGGATGCTGAAGCAGCTGGGACAGCACTGAAGAAGTACGGCGCAGTTCTCATCAAGACGACCGGCCAAGTGGTGGGCGCCGATGAGTTCAAGGAGCTGGCAGTCGCTGCATGGCAGGCGGCCGGCCACCCAAGCTCCACGGAGGAGCCGCTCGGCGGTTTCTGTAGGATTCTGTAATAGGATTCTGAGATTTGAGCAACAACATTGTGGTTGTTCTGCAAATTTACTCTGCATCGAGCCCTAAAGTTTCCTGGCTATTCGCGAATCTCTGTCAAGGGTGACCTTGTCCGGCCCAGATTGTGCCTAGGTACAACGGCCCTGGCTCGGTCAACAGAGCAGAGCTGTTCGACGGCATCTACGACGTGAACGCTGGCCGCACCAACACGATGCCTGTCCCACCTCACAGTGAGCAGTCCTACTTGTTCCTGGTGCCGCGCTTCGTTGCCTTCACATGCTGGGAGCAGGCGTCACTTGGCTGTGCAATGTGCCAGAGACTCCCTTAAGACGGCCAGCTGTTTGCCATGTCGGGTTGTCCAGCCATGATGGATGCGACTCCTAAGGCAGAGCGGAGGGCACCTGGAGCTGTTCGACACGGGCAAAATTGCCAAGGCACGTCGCCGGTTCGGAGAAGAGAGTCTGCAGGAGTGTCCGAAAAGTAAATACGTGTCCTCTCATATACATGCGTTTGGATGGCTTGAGGCAAACCCGCAGCTCACTGCCAAGATCCAGGCCTACAATGTGACGTACCAGCGAGTTTTGGGCGACCTCAACAAGGGCAACTGGACGTACGCAACCGGACATTGGCAAACCAAGTACGAAACCTCCAGCTTCGAAGAGGCTCAGCGGAAGGCCGCAATGGACCTCATCTTGGGAGGTCCATCTGGATCGAGTCTCAAGCCGCACCTCGAGGAGACACCTTTCGGACCATAGGCGGTGTCAGTGTAGTCACATGATTCACATGATCATTCGGCTTTGGGGTGCATGTCGTGAAGTGCAGCTTTCCATCGAGTTTTTTGGGAGGGATGTGCGTACCCAACGCCTTCTGTATCAAGAGGACACCGCTCTCATGGAATGGACGATCCCGGGGCTGTCAGACGGCTACATGCTTAATGCCACCCGGCCGGCAGAGTTTTGGTACTTCTGAGGCGCTACTTTGAACACTAGCTCGATGAATTTGGAAGAAAGCAGACCGCTTAGAGTCTCCGACAGCCCGAGTTGACAAGCAAGGCGATTTTGGATAATCAGCGGTCGTTCAATGAGAACGAGGGCTTGGCACCGTTCCATTCTCGGTACGGGAACGGCGAGGATCCAATCCGCAAACAGTGGCCATCCTTTCTCGACACCGCCCGATGCCCCTGTCGAGCCCCGGAGGAGTTCACGGCCGAGGAGCTGCACATGCTGAGAAAGAGCACGTACGAGGCCCTCACCCACAAGGTCCTCATGGAGCCCGGCGACGTCCCTTGACTGAAGTGGTAGTGTGTCTGCAACTGTACATGGTGTCGGCTGGCACATTCAGGTGATTGTCCTAGACAACTGGCGTTGGGCACACGGGCGGTGCTTGGCTCATGAAACTTTGCTGTCCGGTCGCTCGAACCTCGATCCAGCGAGCCCAGGGAGCCATATGAAGGCAAACGAGTGCACGGCTCGGTCATCTCAGACCGTCGACCACGCTCCGTGGGGCAGTGACTTGATTGCTAAAATAGTTGTCATGGGATGCCGAATTGCAGATTGGAGCTGCTGCATATAAGAGGCTTCCGGATCAACAGGACTTAGGACTTGAGGACTGCGAGGTGTCTGACCGTGTGCATGTAACATGGACAGCTGGAAATGTTGACCAAGCTCGTTGAAATCGAAAACATCGAGTTTCGACCGGGGGATTATGTCACACTTTCAAGCGGAGTCGGAACATCAGGCTAAACATGTGCTGAGACCTCAACGATTGGCAGCATGCACGAGGCGGTTTGCGCGGGCACGAAACGTTCAGAGCCGCTTGAGTTTTTGAGATGGGCGCAACTCAACCCGGGGATTCTGTAGTGGAGGTGAAGTTCGCCTCCAGGGATCAGGATTTCTGCCAGTTCGGAGTATAGGTCTCGAACATTGTTTGTTGGGATCTCTCTTTTTGGGGTACTGTGTTCGTATTGAGAAGTTACGCAGGACCCTTCTTGAAATTCCTGGACGTAGCAGGAGTCCGGGGCTTTGCAAGGCTGGGGTGTATTCGCTGCAGCTGAAACTGCCGACACACGACAGTCCGAGGACAGGCAGAACCGAGCTCTAATCGCATCTTGGCAGGAAGCGCTTTACTCATGTTCAGCTCGCTGGCTACATGTTGAGGAGGACAACACCCAGTTTCAGAAGTTTAGGTCAATGTTAGGTTCACTGATTTCTGAGCCTCCCATTCGCCTCCCCTGCTTTCTCCATAAGATAATGTCATTGTCGATTCGTCTTAATTTTGTGAGCTGCATGTTGGTCCTGGTGCTCGAAGGCGTTTCTTCAAGCTCCAGTTTAGGCGCAGGGGTCTACTGTAGCAGTCAGCCAGAGTTCGATAGAATACACACATGATGAGGAGAGAACCTGCGTGGAGGGACGGCCGGTGCAACAGTAGGAGAGAGAAAGGGCTCTACAATCTTGCTGTCGTTGAAAGGATGCGAGTGTCGTTGGCGGCAGCTGGAAACCTAGCATCCCCAAATCAAAAGCCACGTAAAAGTGCTGAAAAAAGGACACGTCATGAACCTCCGGTGTGTGTCCGACACCTTGGCACTATCAAAGCAAGCCTTGCCACACACTTTTTCACCTGTCACCACCGTTCGTGGTATCTTGTGCCTTGTCCGGAAAGTTTGCCTTGCCGTTCATCTGAAGCTTTAATCGAAGTGGAAAGCTCATGTAGAATAGCCGTTGGAACTTAAGGGGTAACACGGTGCATCTTGCGGGTGCTTCTCAATGAGTATAGCGAGATACAGGCTGCCGTGCTGTCGTATCCGAGGATTGCTAATTGCAGGCCATTCAACCTGTTATCCTTGCTCGCACGATTACATGCGGTCATGCGGTTCTCGGCATCATTGAAAGCCGAGGGTAGAGAGTAGAGAGCTTTGAGTCGAGGAGGGGCGTCTGCGACCTTTGACCAAAAGCCTTCGGCCTTTCTTCCCTGGCTCTTCTATCGCAGTTTGCGCTCTCTGTGGGAGCCTCGGCAAGGTCCTGTCCTTCGGTCTCCCATGGCACGTGCTTGCGCGATAGCTTGAGGTCTCTGCGAGGATCGCGCAGCGTTCTCCAGCAGCTTTGCTGACTGTCGGTGGTATCACCGACAGAGAATGCAATTGAACATGCTACAAAGGGATGCGTGCGAAGTCCTGCTTTTAGAGCGAGTCAGGGGGAGCTGCTCTGCATAGCATTTCACTCTTCGCACGTGCTTCTCGTCGCAGCCTTTGTGGTCGCAAGATGCTGTGATTGAACTAGCATTGCCCATTCGGGACGCTACCGTTGATGGACAAAATTTGGAGTATATCTCATACCCTAACTATAATCTGAGCATTGTGGCATCTAACCCCTGTTGTCGATAAAGCATCATGATCAGGTTAGTACTTTGGGTGTCGCTGTGGCCGGCATGTTTGCTGCGGCTGCAGCAGGTCCTGAGGACGGGACATGTGACATCTGCTGAAGACGTTCCGCTGCCTTCCTGCCTGCCTGCCTGCCTGCCTGCCTGCCTGCCTGCCTGCCTGCCTGCCTGTCTGTCTGTGCGTGCGTGCGTGCATGGGTGTGTGTGTGTGTGTTTGTATCTCTGTCTGTCTGTGTCTCTGTGTGTCTCTGTGTGTGTGTGTGTGTCTGTGTGTCTCTTCCTCTGTGTGTCTCCGTGTGCTTGTGTGTCTCTTTGTGTGTGTGTGTGTGTTTCTCTGTGTTTGCGTTTGTTGTGTCTATGTGTGTGCGTGTGTCTGTGTCTCTGCCTCTGTGTGTCTCTATGAGCTTGCGTGTCTGTGTGTGTCTATGTCTGTGTGTGTGTGTGTCTCTGTGTGTGTGTGCGCCCTAAATTACGGGCCTCGTCTTGCAGGCTGCTGGTACATCCTTTCGGAGATACTCCAGGCTTAATTAAGCCCAACAGATCCCGCCAGGGCATCACAGTCATATTGGAAGTATGCGGTCCAGCATGAGCTGCGAGAAGCTGTGCGAATCAGGAAGCATTCTTTGGCTCAATGAGTGCCATCCATCACGATCAATCATAATGCAGCAATTCCGCTGGCCGTTGTGTCTCCTTTTGGGGATTATCCAAACCGGCGGCTGCGCTAAGACCTCCTCTTGGCGCAAGACCCCACCGGCCCATGCAGCGTCCTTGCTGCGACAGAATCAGACTGGCACGCAGCGCCTGTTCACCATCAGGCATCACCAGACCTGCGTCGGCACATCCTACACCAAGAACCCGGAAACCAACTGCGACGGCTGGAGTGGCTTGACAGAGGAAGAGTGTGAAATGAAATGTGCTGAGAACGACCAGGCGCCGAACTGTCCTCAGGAGTCCTGCCACGCTGCGGTCTTCACCCCTGTTAACGGCGGGTGCAACTTGTACAAAACATGTCAGCAGGTGGAGCCTTCCATCGGCTCAGTCACACTGGTCGACCAAGAGATGCTGAGCGAGGAGCAGGCGATGGAACAGCAAATGGCAGCAGAGCACGAGGAGCCCGGCAGGTTGCATGAAGTCATGACAGCTATGCCGATCGTGCTACTCAACTTGACGAACTTCTCGGGCATCTTGCACAATGTAGACGTGCCGAGCAGAGATATCGCTTACAGGGCCGGGAACATCACTGCTGACCTCGGGATGCTTTATGACAAGGTGCAAGGCTTTCTCCTCGCCTTGCACGACCAAATGAACCCGGAAGATGCAACGAGGTACTGCCCCTTCGAGACCGAGCGTGTGATTCCAGCATGCATTGTCATCGCGACTTGCCTCATTCAAAAGGTTGTGCCCGCCGAAATCTCGATGGACGCCTTTGCGTCCCTCATGGAGCAGGTGCGGCGCTTCGAGGATATCACATGGCCTTTGCTCAAGACAGCCTTGATTGGCGAGCACGAGCCGAACGTGCAAACGGATTCCTATGTACCCGACGCATATAGGTGTGATGGCGTTCAAGAAGCGGATCCTCACTCGCTTGTCAGTCCAGCCTTTGTGCAAATCGAAGCAAAGGCGGCAGAGAGCTCAGAGCATTCAGAGACCCTGGCGATGTCATCGGCCATGCGACATGCCTCCGCTCGCACACACCGCATTCTGGATGCGCATCTTATGAATTCATCTATGCAGACGACAGCCATGCAGTTGGAGAAGCTTTGGCATCCGATCTGCAAGAAGCTTCCTTGTGATCCGTCCAACATGTACGACGTCTTCCTTGCTTGGCACAAGCAGAGCATGGCCCTGTGCCAGACATCTGCCGTCGGCCATCTTCGCCTGGAGATTCACCAGCGTGTGAGGCTAGACATGCGGCTGCAGCGCTTTGTTTCCGAGCACTACTTCGAGCACGTCTCCTTCTTTAACGAGAAAGGGGTGTTGCACAGCTCGCGGGAGTCCGTGGTGAACTACGGCAAGAGAGGACGCGAGGCTGTCATGGGCCTGGTGATCCCATACATGCAGAAGCTTGCAGACACCGACGGAGAGAGAGCTGTGCGGTTGGTGGATCACGTCGAGCTCATCAAGTTTGCACGGGACATGGAGAAGGAGCAGGAGGGAAACCGGAAGATCAGGCGTGTGTCGCAGCATGCAATCGGGCAGAGCGAGGAAACCAAGGACCTCGAGGAAGACCTGGACGAAGATGTGAAGGAAGCAGACGCTGAGGACGAGGTGAAGGGCCGCCCTGGCCCTGCTGGCCCTTCCGCAGAGGACGTGTCCCTTCTGTCGGAGAGCGTGAACCTGACAGATGGCTTTGCCACCTCCCACTGGTGCACGAGGAACACGATCGTGTTCTGGAACCACAAGCACCAGCACTACTTTCGTATGTCCAATTGGCGAATCGAGCGAGGACACAAGGGATGGCTGGGCAGCATCCCCTACGGGTGGACATGGGAGCGGTTCACCTGCGTTGATCTAGGGGGTGGCAACTTCGCGTTTCACAACACCTTCCACAACCGCTTCATGCGCATGAACGGTGATGGCTGGATGGATCGAAGCGACCCGTGCGACAGGAACAAGTTGCCTGACCACTGGGGTTGGGAGCGGTTCAAAATGAAGGACATGGGCGACGGACACTGGGCCTTGTTCAGCACGGCGCACAACAAGTTCGTGAAGATGGACAAGGGCGACGGTATCGTTGCCAGTGGCTGGAGGAAAGGTGCCTGGGATATTCCAGCCCGTTGGAATTACGAGAAGTTCTATATTCAGAAGGCGTCAAGAGAGATTGCTTCACCGAAGGCCTTCTGGTTTGTGGACAGAACGGTGGCCATATGGAGCCACCAGCACCAGCGTTACGTTCGTCTGAGGAAAGGCAAGGTCGAGAAGGGTGGCGCCGGTTGGAGAGATCCATTTCCAAATTGGGGCCACGAGCGGTTCACGCCACTGAGATGTTTGTTGGTCATGTGGGTCTGTCCTTCTTTGCGCTCCGCATGTCTGTGTAAAGGAAGCGATAACATGTGTCTGAGCCAATGATCTAGAGTCAGAGCCCAGGCCAGTGATGGCCGGCCACGGAGAAGTGGCCTTTTACAACGCCGAGAACCGCCGCTTCATCCGCATGAACAGCGACGGCTACTTAGACGACAGTGACTGGGAATGATTTTAAGCAGCCTTTTTGCAGTGCTGTGTTCTATCATTCCGGTACTGTCTCGTCCCATGTTCTTCCAACGTATATAAGCCTTCGCATCATCTTTAGGTGACAAGATGTCCCAGTGGCAACTGCACGACGGGATGACCTGGGAGCGGTTCAAGGTCGTGGATATGGGCGAGGGACACATTGCTTTGTACAGCTCGGTTCACAGGAAGTTCTGGAAGATGAATGGCGAGGAGAATAACCTTGTGACCGGCCCTGAAATGGACTATTGGAAAGTGAACACAAATTGGGGTAACGAAAAATTCTTCCTTGTGGAAGTCGGCGAGAAGAAGAACTGCAACTTTTGGTGCAGGCTCCGGCGCGGCATCGAGAAGGTAGTGAAAGCCGTTGCAGACTTTGTGGTAAAGCTCCTTTCATGCTTCGGACAGTGGGTGTTCACGGAATCCGTTGGCTATAGCAGATCCATCAGCACACATGCTGCCGTGAACTTTGGCGTGTCTGCTGGCGTTTCAACCCCTAGCATCAAGTCGATAATTGAGCAAGCGACGTCTCCGGGCATGTCAGTTTCCTTGTGGGCATCTCTGGGAGCAGGCGCGACAGCCGAGTGGCTTTGGTCGGGTCTCGGCGTGGCCCTCTACATGAGCTGCGGTGGAGCGGCGGACGACAGCTCTGGGGGTTGCTACTTTGGCGTCTCCGTCGGAGCCATCTTTTCGGCTTGGGCGAAGGCCTGGGCAGAACCTAGGTGCCCCTTCGGGCCGACGCTCTTCGGTGCCTTCCAGTGTTCGAGATCAGTCGGTGGCACCTTCCTGCTCATTTGCTGCAGCTACAGCATCTTGACTGGTGAGAACAGCTGCCGCTGAGGAAGGATGCAGACCGAGTTGCCATAGCGGTTCCTGTATAGACACAGTGCGTCGCATCTCGACACTTCATGTCGACCGAAAAAATCCACCATGCTTTTCGCTATTTGCAGCTGAGCAGAGTCCCGTTTGGGGGGGGATCTCAAGCCTGGGCATCGGTTTGCAGTGCTTTGACTTGGCAGGCATCCAGCTCTGCTGACATTGCTGCCGTCCATCCGGTCACCTCCGAATGTTAGTTCTCGAAGTCAAAACTCAGACCGCTCTCAATCGACTTCTTTCTCAGGAATCCGGAGAGAGCTGCCGCTGAGCAGTTGTTGGCCGATTTGCAGCTCACTTGAAAAACGACGGCTTGTGGTTGAGATCTTCGTATGATTGCCGAATTGCTTGACACCCTGCTTACAACCATGTGAGACATGTTAACATGGCTTCGAGTCTTTCACTGCAAGTAGATAAGCATATAGTGCTACGGATGACGAAGACGCAGTTGTTCAGCGACAAGCTACATTGGCTCGCGTGCGCCGAAGTCCTGGGTTCGACAGCGTGTGTGTGTGTGACGATGCAACTCGAAGGCTGGGCCCTAGAGCCCTCTCGTTGCATTCCATCGTCCGAAAGCTTCACTGGTAAGTGCCGAAGGGATTTGGCATCAGCACCGAATCTGTTTCTGCTGGTTCTGTCGCCGAGGGATTGAAACTCCGAGCTTGTCTGCCGGAAGCTATATCGGCTCGCTCGAGCATCCGCACCAAAACGGCGGGTTGTAACCTTAATCATGTGGCGGGAGTTGTTCACCGCCTAAGTTTCAACCAATGAAGCTACACATTCTGGAGCTGCTCAGCCTCAGCTTGTCGCCTTTCTGCATCTAGCAGGGCGATCTCGTCGTGGTTCTGGGGGCCTCGCAAAGTAATTTGAATATGGTAGATCTGCATTCCGGTCACTTTGCTAATGCAGTGATGAGGGACCATGCGCGGGAAATATTTAACCATGCCAGTACAGAGGTCCAGCGGGCAAATGCTTGTATTTGCGGCCTTGGTTTCGGGATTAAAGTTCCTTTTCAGAGCGCCTTGGGCGCCTAAAGCTGGATGAGCATGAACTCAGCCAAATGCATCGAGAAATAGGCATTGGCCATCACAACATTTGGAGACAACGCCAACAAGAATCGAAAAGGAAATTTCATCTCTCCTCCTAGCAGCGCCATTTACTCTTGTGGAAATTGCTTCATGCTACTTCATCCTGCTGAAGCAGCCAAGGTTCTTGTCAAAGCCCACTGTGGCCGCCAAGGTGGCTCGCCCAGACACCTAATGAGCTCCCTCCCTGACACCTACTGCAGACAAGTCGCCCCGAGCCCTAGGCTCAGGCGCAAGCCTTGGACTATAGGGGATTGACCCTGCACCACACCTCAGATTCTGAGCCTGAAAAATCAGAGCCAATCATTGGCTTGTTGCCTTGCGATTTGGAGGTGCGTGCAAGTCCTCCTGACGATGCCAACGAGTCAAGCTCGTACATCGACAACCCCAGACGGCTCTTTGCGACCGTGTCAGCACCTCTACTGAAAGCTGGCATTTTGGAGGTGTTCTTCCGTCTACTCAGAGCTCGTCGTATAGTCTGGGGTACAATCTCTTCATGCCTGACTCTACTCTAACAGCGACTGCTCAAGAATCGAAATCGTTCCTCTGGGGCGGTATCTGGACGATCGTCCATGGTGCCAGGGTCTCAACTTGGATTCAGATTGACCATTGGCTGGTTTTCTGGAACCGGTCAAGCCAAGGACGCTGCCTGTATAGGCAGGCCTTTCACGGAATATCCGGACAGGGGCTGTAATGGATGGAAGGATGTCACGCAGGCGGAGTGTCAGCAGCAACTTGGCTCTTCGTCTTCTTCTAGCTGATTTCCTTCATTAGGGTTGTTTCTGGTCTGCAGATTTTTTGCGTGCGTCCAGGAAGTGTGCTGACCATTGGGCCCCAGACGAATGTGTCCCGGAGCACTGCCACGCTGCGGCATCCCGGCTCATCGCCCCAAAGCCTGAAAGACTACAAATCGCGACCCGTGCATTTGTGGACGCCCAGCACCACCTAGGCAGCGGTGAGTTGTTGCACTTTGCTGAGGTCTACTACCCTGCAGGCGGCCTCTGCCATCTCTACGAGGCCGTCGAGTGCGTGGACCTGATCCACACGCAGGCAGCCGTGAGGGTGCGTGAGTGACCTGGGCACCCAGGCGTTATATGGCATTATCGCCTCTCAAAGTCTATTAGGACAGTCGCAAACCGTCGCTTAGAATTTGGAGACGGGAAGCGTTGCTCTTCAGGGCGGGATCACCATGCTGGACGAGTTCGAGAGCCTCGGCTTGCGTCACGCCTCACGCCTGCATGGGATTCCGCACGTTCCGTTCTCTAAGGATCCAGAAGTATCGGAAGGATGAAGCGGAGGAGTCCGCAGTTGAAGAGGCCAGGCCGGGCCAGATCAAAAGGTGCACGCGGGGCTAAGAGTTTGCACGAATGCTCACCACTGCTCACCCTCCAGGATAGCAAGAGGCACTCCCGAAAGATGAGTTTTTTCAATCCAGTCTTGCAGGCGGAAGATGCAGCAGAGCGAGCCCATCCCAACCCGTGGAAGGAGATGGGCACTGCGCTGCCCGCCGTGCCTGCAGCTGCAATCTGTGTGCAGTACATGTCAGAGTGAAGTCACCAGGGTTGGCAAGCTCCTTGCGTTTCGAGGTTCTTGTGAACCTCTCGAACTACTCGGGCCTTGTCAGTGACAAGAACCGGCTGGCGAACGTCAGCCACAAGTTCGGCGAGGCCCTGTGGGCAAGATCCGGAACGACCTCCCGGACATTCCATCCTTCCTTCAGCTGCAATTAAAAAGCCTGCAGAAGCCAGTGCTGCCCGACAGTTCAGCAACGCAGCACCTCGATTCGGAAGCGAGATGTCACCAAGCTTTGGTCGGTGCAACCCAAACAGGACCGATCCTCCAGCTGATTGCGGCTTGACCCCAAAGTCTGACAACCCGCTTGCTGTGGTGAGCCGAAATCCTGCCCTCGCGAGGTCCTTGGCCGCGGAATACCCTCTTTCAAACCATTCACAGCCCACAAGCCATGCCGGCCGATGCACTGCCCCGCGCACCTTAACAAGACCCCCGGTGTTGGGAGGCCCTGACTCACCAAAAGTTCACCAACAATCCAAACCTCGTTCATGGAGTAGGATGAGTAGGAGTCGCATGCTTTCAAGAGCTCAAGTTTGAGAAATGCTTCGCGGCAGATCGATTCAGATCTGGAGATGCTGTATGACAAGGTGAAGCTTGGATGCAGCAGAACGCTTCCGATGATATTGTCAGCCTCGCTCCAAGCCTTCGACCAGTGCCAGCACACCTATCGGTGCTCGCCCTAAGGAAGGGGTTCTACTCGGTGCTGCACGAGCGGATGAATGCCTCGGACGGCTTGAAGTTTTGTCCTTTCCGGTCGGAGAGCTTATGCCGCATCTGAGCCCCAGCATCCCGTGCCAAACCCCTAGCCTGGAAGAAGGCCCCAGTAGCAGCACTTCTCGTCTCAGGCGCTCGATCAAGCGGTGCGTCTCCATCGCGATGTGTCTTCTGCAGTCTGCCGTTGGTACAGAAGCTCACCCGTTACTTCAGCTACTTGCTCGGGTCTGTGCAGAAATTGCCAAACCTTGCCAGTAACTTGCCAGAGCCATCGAGTCGCCGAGGACATCCCCATGACAGCATTTACGGCCATGATGGAGCAAGTGACCCGCTTCGACGACATCACTTGGCCACAGCTTATGGCTCACTTGGGCCGAGAAGACCCGACTCACACGAAGGCACGGGCACACGACGGGGAAGTAACGACGTCGCCATGCGCAAATTAACAACCTGCCAGGTCGGTGAGGCCGACATGCCGCAAGAGTACCAGTGTGATGATGTGGCAGCCTGGCGGGAGTCTGGCTGGCCTGCAGCATGTCGTGTTGTCAGATCTGTTAATTTGTGAGCTTGAGACCACCAGCGAAGGAGGCGGTGAATCCAGCAGCAAACGTTCGCAAGGCGTCAGTGCTGCAGATGGAGTCACACCATGCACAAGGGTCTTCGACCGAAGCGATCTTGGCCATGTCTGCCGCTTTTCGGCAAGCTGCAGTTGACACGCATCGCATCCTGGATGCACATGGAGCAAATACCTCCATGGAGCTCACGGCACATTACCTGCAACGCACCTGGCACCCGCTGTGCCAACAGTTGGGCTGCGATGCGTCGAACATGCACGACGTCTTCGTAGCATCGCACAAGCAGACCATGGCGCTCTTGCAGACCAATGCGGTGGCACATGTGCGTCATGAAATCCGGCATCGTGTCAAGATGGACCTGCGAGTGCAGCGCTTCATTGCCGAGCATGGGCATCGAGGCGTCTCGGCTTCCGGCAGGGCCCGGCGGAGTAGAGAGGTTGGAGCGTCACCGCTTCGCGTCTTCGCGAGGCGAGCTCTCCTTCTACCGACCGGCGCTCACTTCCTCTGATGCTGCCGCACGCGTCTACGGAGAGAAGGGCCGAGATGGTGTGCTTGGTGTGTCTCGGTTCCGAAGGGTTTCGCGATGTTTCGAGGCCGAGGGCCTCAATGTCAATGAGGAGTTCAGTTTATGCCACGAAACCGACTCAAGCCTTCGACCATCTCGGTAAATATCTCGGTATGCTCGGTGTCGTTCGGGACATGAGCGATGAAGCCCTCCGCAAACAAAGGTGGTTCTGCCGACAGTGGAGGGCCTTGCCCAGCATGATGAGAGCCGAGTATTACGACTTTTTGACATGGTGGCTCTCAGCATTATTCCGGCGCTTTACACTGGCAGACGCTGTGCAGGATGCCTCATCAGATCGTTTGACTGACTGCCTTTCAGGTAGAGTTCGAGAAGTTCCGTCGTCAGCTGGAGCTTGAGGAGGTTCCCATGTTTCAGCAGTCAGTACAGGGATTAGGGCATTAGGGAAGCGCGCTAGGATCCGATGCCTGAGTAGTCTCACACCTTGATACACGACGGTGGGGAGCTGGTGAGACATGGAGAAGGCGATGGAGCAGGAGGAGGAGGAGGACCTCCGCAGCGAAAGCATGGACAATGTGGCGGCGGCTCTTGGCTCGCTTGATGACGACGAGGCCCGGAGCCGCGAACTTCCGATGCTTTCTCCGCCAGTACTGACTGCAGCATGTCTAGCAAAAACATCCAAAACAGCACTTGTTTTCCCGAGGAATGCGCACTGTTTTTCGCACGCATATCAGCATCTTGCGTATTGGACTGCCCTTTTCAAGACTCGTGCTTGCACATGAATGTGTCGTGCAATCTTACCGACCCGCTCGTACGGTGCAGCCTTGCTTTGCCCTCTGCGAAGGCAGAATAAGGCAGAATTGCAGTCTGTTACAGCATGTTCTGGAGGATTGGCACAGCATGAATGCCTCTATATTGTGCATGGTATGCTGTAGCTTAGCCAATCGTGCAGGTGCAGAGATCTTGGGTTAGTAAAGATAGATAGCACAAGGTGTGGTGGAGGTGATTTTGACAGAATCTGCGGAACGAAACTGGCGCCAGGAGCACGATCACAGTACCATGAGGAACCGTCATCGCCCCTTCCCCATTCCTTGATGCGCCATCTTTTTTTGGTCCCCCAAGGAGCAAGACCACCACGCGGAGCATGAGGACGAGGACGACGAGGATGACGAGAACGAGGCAGGGCTGAAGCCGCCGCCGAAGCGTACTCCTTTTGAACTGCAAACCAGGAGCGAGAACTCCATGAGCATGAAGACCATGAGCATGAAGAGGCTTCCGAAGAGGACGAGGAAGGCCAGGCACATGGCCTACAAAGTGTAGCTCGGTTTCTGCGCTTGCCGAACCTCGCAACGGAGAGCTTTCAACCCCATCATTCCACGCCCAAGCTCTCAGAGCCCGGCGCCTGTTCCAGAAGGTGAGAAGATGCTTGCCACACAGCACACCAAGGTGGACGGGTGCTCTGCCCCAAATGTGAACTGAGCAGCCCCGACCTTTAAGGACGTCAGACCTTCGGAGATGGCATTAATGGAGACCTCTGGTGAGCTTGGACTTGCTGAGGCGGAACCGTGCTTGCAAAAAACTGAAGGCGCCTTCTGCTGTCAGCCAGGATGAGCAGGGCGACAAGAGCTCGAGACGCAGACGCCGCAGACGCCGACGCCGCAGACGCCGACGCCGCAGACGCCGCAGAAGGCCAAGCAACACACAGCAACCCTTTCGCTCCCAACCCGCGTAAACGCAATGTACGGGCGAGTTGATCATCTCGCTTCTTTCGTGGCTGACTGCTGATTCTTCTTTGCCGGATGTCAGTTGGTCCGTCTGCACGTTCGTCAGCCTATCTGTAGAGTTATGAGAAGGATTTGAATGCATGTTGAGGGTGGTTCCGCCAGTAGAGATATGGCAAGCTGTGGCCTTAGCCGTAGCCTGGATCATTCTCGCTTCTCGCCTCCGGAAATTTGCCCCGAGCAGCATGCTTTACAAGCCACTCGCAGCTCCAGCGAGAGTCCGCAGGCGTTGGTTACGACGACGCAGACGTCGCTGGTTGAGAAAGATCTTTAAAGCGGTGGCTTGCTTTGGTTGAATTCCACAACGATGAAGTTTCTGACGAACATCTCAAGCGGGTCTTGTTAGGATGCCATCAGTCCTTGTTGCTTTCCTCGCAAAGGTGGTGCAGGCCGTTGTCAAGTGGGCCCAGAAGTTCTTCGAATGCTTCGGCCAGTACTCCAAGTGGGATGCGGTAGCTTGGATGCAAAGAACGTGTGCGGCGCCAAGTCTGGCAAACTCCGGGCTTTGATCTCGGGGGGTTCGACTTGCAGGGCTGGGTGTGTTGGTTGGAGCTGGTGGCCAACCCTTAAGGAAATGACGAGGACTGATTAGGATTCTGTTGATGTTGATGAAACCCCCTGCAAGCACAATTCAATCCTACATAAGCCGAGAGCATCGACGTGTAGTCGCGCGCCATGACTGGCAGGCCGTCAAGAAACTGCATAATATAAGCAGAGTCGCCACCACCACCATCATCATCATCACCGCCAACATCATCACCATAATCAGTATCATCGTTACCACCGCCACCATCATCATCACCATCATCAGCACCATCATTATCATGATGTAGTCGCATTGCTTGACCTTCTTCAGCAAAGCCGGCATGCATACTGCCCCACGCCACGAAAACCCCCAAGCAAGCCTTCTAAATCGAGACTGAATCCCTTAAACTGAGGTTGGATACACCAAATCCTTTGGAGGGAACTTCGGCCTCAGTTTCGGCTTCTCCGGTGGACATAGCGGTAGCATCCAGGCTCGCTCGGGCTTCGAGAGCTTGAGCTTGAGATACAGGTTCCAGATTTTGTCAGAACGAGAGTGGCATCTGACACTTTGCACGAGTTGGCCCCAGAGCATCATGCAGGTTTGACTCCTCGTAATTCCAAAAGCTTCAAGCTCCGATACTTGCAGAGATCACTCCAGCTAGCATGCAGGAGCTCGTCAAAGGAAGCGCAATCAGCAGCGGCTGGGTCAGCACCTCCGCCGCTATACAGTTGTGGTGCTACGTGAAGGTATACGTCTAAAACCCGAATTCCGATTAAGTCTAGGCCCCCAACACTTTCACAGGAGCTACGAGACTTGCGAGTTCTTGCACCACAGCAAGCAGCAGCAAGTTGAAACATGGATTTGAAGGCAAGCGGTCAAGGCCTTCAGATTTTGCCGGAGACAAGCTCGCGAAGAGGTTGTTGCCTGTAGCAAGGTTTGTGATGCTGGCAGTCACCGGGTGTCTAACACCTTGGGGTGGGTGTTAGCTTCAACATTCAAAAACAAACTAATTCCGAATGGGGGCCACCAGAGATCCAGCAACATTGCGGCTGGTCTCTCTCCGTAGTCATTTTTGGCCAATTAACATCTTCCAGACCGTGACCTTCTGCGCAGTATGGCATGTTCGAGACCTTGTCATTGTGGTTGGAGTTGTGTCGGTATAAAATACAAAAGCCACAAAACGTGGAGCATCTTTGGGACAGTAGAACTCGAAACAAGACAGCTGGAAGATCAGAACGTTGACAAGAGCGGGCCCGTGCCCCTCGCGTTTGGTCTGGTCCACAGTTCCACAACGCCACTGCACTGGAGAATTGTGCTTGTTCGATTCGACCTTCCAACTGTGAATTTCTGGCATGCGGACGCCGTGGTGCTCTGAACTCCTTGTCTCGGGCCGCCATGAGACCAACATGTTGGAAATGCTCACAAGAACATCGGAACAGCACCCAAACCCAATGCAGGCACAGCTTGTAGGACTGTAGGTTCCAAAACTTGTTCAGCATCTCAGCCGTGGGGACTGTCTGTCATGCACAGCCCGAGTTCTCGAGTCGAGTGATTTCTCCAGCACCTGTCAGGCAGAGCTCTGGAGCTGATTCTCATGGCTTTACAAATATGGGTATTTTGACCTGGGATTCGACATCCGTTTGGTGTAGCCGTGTTCTGGATGAAGCCGACGACCTGATTCATAAAGCGGGTCGCGAACTGTTCCTCCTGACTCGGCCCTGGACTCTGCTCGGTCGCCCATAATCTCCAGCTAGCCACTTCAAGAGGCAGCATTTTTGTAAACACCAGTGGCGCTGGACTGCAGCTCTGCAAACGCCTTCGAATTTTGTGAAGATGCCTTAAAACTTGCAATGCCTGTCAGGTATAGGCATGGGCTTGAGCGCCGGCACAGCAGGTGGTCTAGACCGCAATCACCTGCAGAAGTTCTGCGCAGACATGACTCCGACAGTTCAGATTCTGTTGTTTGATTGCGGGTGCATATTCGAGCGATGTGATATCAGGATCATCCTGAACTTCAATGCACGGTCTTCAGCATTCGCACATCTGCGACGGAGGTGAGTGGTGGTGGGCTGGCGTTGGCCTGAGCGGCTCCGAGTCTCGGCCGGATCGGAGTTTCGAGCAGCAAGCAGTGACTTATGCCCTCGGCTTTCAATCCCCATGATGAAGCTTTAAGAGTTTCGATCGACTCTTCAGCTATGTGACCATTATGGAACTAGGCCGGGATTCAATGTCTGCAGAAGACATTGCGATGTAAGCAACTGCACGAGGACTATTGAAGACGAACCGACGGTTACATTGGGGTCATGTCATGTCATGTCATGTCATGTCATGTCATGTCATGTCATGTCATGTCATGTCATGTCATGTCATGTCATGTCATGTCATGTCATGTCATGTCGTCTTACCCTGCTCAAAGTTAAAGCTGCTTCTGTGGCGTTGGCTTGCAAGCCAAACAAGTCCTCCCACATCGCAAGATGTGATAGCCAGAAGATGCCCCCAACCTGGCATTCGGCACACATCAGGTGACCTGCGGCACCGGCGGATCGTGCTCACTCGGCATTTCAGTCGGGGCCATCGGCTGTGGCTGGTGGGACGTTGGGATCAATCCCGCGCCGGGGGCTCGGCTCTCTCAACCGCGTTCCCAAACGAAAAGCGAAGTAGATCTGTCGCTTGCCAGCCGTCGTTGCGCAGTACCCTTCGACATTTTTCAGCTCATACTGTGCACGCATCGTATCGACGAGCTCCCGCTTGCGAGAGAACACGGCAACTGAGGTGTCCCTTCGATCTCAGCTGGTTGGGAGTGAAGTGCCAAGGGTCCAGGGGCGGCACCTTGCTGGTCACCTGCTGCGGTGTGGATCCTCTGCTGTCGCACTCGCTTTACGGTTTGGGAGTACTGTGCACTCCACAGAACGAGGCGGCCGTTGAACATTCGCTTGCCGCTCGGTGCAACCAGCTCAGGATCTGATTTCCGGGAAGCACAACTGTCGGTGAGGGCAGAGACCGAAGCCATCTGTTCATGACCTCCAGATGGTACTGTACAGTTTGGGTCTGGTATGTCTGGTTGCAGACCCAGATCGCAGTTTCCTGTTTGCACAGGGCCGGAGCTGCGACAGCCTGAGCGAACCCTGAGGGAATGCAGGCGAAATGTCTTCCATCTGCGATCGTCAGTTTGTATTCGTGGCGGCACAGATTTCGGGGAACCTGATGCCACACGCCGCCTTCTTCAAATGCATCCAAAGGGAGTGCAACAGCCGTGTTCGAAGCTGCGACAACCCCGTTGCTGCCGGTGTTTTCAGTTGTTCTGTACTACCACACAATGCACGAGAACAGTTTGCATGTTGGACTATCCTTGTCACACTAAACACGATGTCCCATTTGCACTTGTGCTGCGACATTCTGCAAATTTGGGCCACAGCTCTTGCAGATCCAATGGCGGGGATAGATAGAAGTTGTAAAGTTGAAGCTATATGTGTAAATAGGTGCAGCGCATCACCTCTTGTAGATTCGAGGAGCGGACACACGCATGCAGATCAGCATAGCTTGAGTCTGGCTCGTGCTCGCACCCATGAGACCAAAATCTGTGACCTTGCTCCTCGTCATCGCCACCTGGCAAGGGAGATGGAGCTGGCTGGGGCCGCCAGGGCCGCAGGGGCCGCAGGGGCGCCAAGTCCCGGCGTCTCGAGCATGCCTCGTGGTGCCAGCGCAGTTGGTGGAAAGAGCTTACCGAGAGCTCTCAGATGCCAACTGCCTTCCGAGGCCTGGGCCGCCAGGGCCCTTCGGAATCCTTCGGAAAAGCTGAGAAAAGTGGGTCCTTCAGCTGTGACCTCTGGAGGCGCTGGCACCCAGAAGGACGATATGGAATTCCTATCCAGGTGGCGGAAGACTCCCAGCAACGGCTCATACCACTGCTGCTGGGCTCGGCGGTAAGGCGTTCCAAGAGCATGGTGGTTAGGGTAGAAGGCACGGCGGCGGAGGGTTTGCAAACTCAGGTTGGCGGATGCTCTTCACAGGCCCACCTTTGGTCCCCAGCCCCAGCTCCGAATCTGCGGGGAGAGAAATTCCGCCAGGCTGCCCTCGAGCTTGAGTGCGGCGTTGATGGCTGGCACCGTGCATCTGAGAGCACAGGCAGCTCAGAACTGAGTTGTAGACGTTGTAGAACTGTTGTAGAATTTGAAGAGTTGGCCTATGGAGCACAGGAGATCCCGTGGAAGGCGCCAAAGCAGCGGGTCCGCCCTAGCCTGACGAGCGAGCTTTCGCTCTCGGCTCCCGCAGGACGTGGGAAGGTCCCAAACCTTGGCAGCCTTAGCGCTCTAGCTGCAAGACGGAAGCCACGGAATCCTCGCAGGCTGTGAACTTCACCTTTGCGGAGCTCTTCGCTGGCATCGGAGGCTTCCGGCTTGGACTTGAAAGCCTCGGAGGCAACTGTGTCTTCGCTTGTGAGATCGAGCCCTACACTCGAAGCTGGGCCAGAAACCATGGGCTCTCACGGTTCGAGGGAGTTTGCAAAAGTCCTTTGATTGAATGTTTAAGATGACATGAGATAGAGACAATCCCCGCCTGCATTTGCTTCAAAACGTCTGTCATCACGAGCACCACGTCCATAAATCATCACCGCCAAGGAGACATGTATCTGCATAATTTCGGCAATGCACCTGCGGTGGCGGGTGATATCCAAGAGGTTCATGCCTCAGCAATACCTCCGCATGACATCTTGGTCGCCGGCTTTCCGTGCCAGCCGTTCTCGGCATTAGGTACCCAACCGGCCTTCGACGACGACCGTGGTCTTCTTTTCCGTGAGATTGTGCGAGTTTTGGAAGCTTCCGGGCCCAAGTTCTTTTTGCTGGAGAATGTGCCCGGTCTGCTACGCTGTGACGATGGAAGGGTCTTGGAAACCATCAGGGCAGAGCTGTCTCAGGCTGGCTACGACGTGCTCGTGGAGACCGTGAATGCTAAGTCGCTCACAGCTCAGGCGAGGAAGCGGGTCTTCATCATCGGTTTTCGAACAGAATCGCAACTGGCCCGCAAGTTTCAGCTTCCACATATTCCCGACCTCTGTCTTCGGGCAGAGGACATCCTTGAGACAGAGGATGAAGTCATGCGAAGTGGCTTGCTGGAAGACTACACTCTCACCGACGAGCAGTTTCTGCGCCTGCAAGGGTCGGCAAAATGGGCCCGGCGTGGTGGCATGAGCAGTACCTTGGCGTGGGGTGACAAGGTATGTGCCACTTTGGTCGGCCACTACGGAAAAACACTCCGAAAGGGAAACTCGCAGCTGGTGCCACGGAATGCGCCCTTTAAGCCGCGGCGCTTCACACCCCGTGAGTGTGCACGGCTAATGGGATTTCCGAACAGCTTCAAGCTCACGGAGCAAGCAGAAGGACAGTCACCGGGAATGTGGTACCGGGCCCTATACAAGATGCATCTCGGGTTTTCGCATTATGATCGAGGGTATGTAGAGAGCAGGGCCTCATTCTTTTAGTTGTTTCTTTCTCTTTCTTTGAAACTTTGGGCTTCACAGAGAGAGAGAGAGAGAGAGATAGAGAGAGAGAGAGAGACATATCTTCTTGAAGGCCCCCACAAGACCCCTAACACAGGGGTGCGCCATCCGGCGCGGGGTGCTTGACACGCACCTCAAGCCCCGGAGAACAGAACAGAACAGATAGAGAGAGAGAGAGAGGGGAGAGAGAGAGAGAAGAGAGAGAGAGAGAGAGAGAGCGGGGAGACGCGGATGATTCTGAGGTTCGGAAACAGTGTGAGCCCCCCGGTGGTGGCGGTGTTGGGTGGCGCGATCCTGGCCTCCGAACAGTCCTCAGACGCCCCCCGCGATCTTGGGATTGCTGCGGCCCTGGGTTTGGCCTTGGAGGCCATGACACCCAGACGCCGACAGCTACTGGAGTGCCGTTTGGGTGTGTCAAAACTCTACAGCATCCCTCGAAGCACCGGCATCTGTGCCTTGAGTACAGGCATTAATAATGTCGCGGCCCGATTAATCGACCCCTCCCCCCCCGCCAACCAAAATGTTTTGGCTTGGGATCCGTGACCCCCTGGACCAAGGTTCGGTAGACTGAGGGCTCTTGGGTCGGCTTGGGGTCTCGGTGGCTTGGACTAAGTTACCCAGCGTTTGTGGGCTGGCTTAGTGTCTGGGTAGGTGAGAAGGGAATTGGGGGGATTTCATTTCTGATGTCCGAGACTGAAATCTTAGAAGGGTTTGGGAGGGTTTAGGAGGGTTCTGTAGGTTTCGGGGGGTTTGGGAGGGTTTGCTTAGGCTAGGTTTTAAATGGGAGGTTTTCGTTGGGGCTTGGGTCGATTTGGGGGTCTGGGTGGTTGAAGTAGAGGGGTTTGGAGCGGTTTAGTAGGTTTCGGTGCTTAACTACTAGGGCTTAAGAGGGTTCTGCAAGTTTCAGGGGGTTTGGGGTGGTTTGTGTAGGTTTTAAATAGGAAACTTAGAGCAAAAGCCCACCAATTGGGTTTACTTAGTGGACGGGCATTGGAATACTAGTAGCAAATAAAGCATTTCCTGAGTCTCTCTACTAGAAAATAGCAGCCGGAACCCTAGAAATATTGCCTTATAGAGGGTTTTGGGTCAGTATCAGCTTAGTACTACTTAGTACTAAATGCGGGCATTGCCTGCATCTTTCCTGAGTTTTGCCAGCTCCCAGCAGCATTTTGCCTCAGCTTTTGGTGCCCTTCGACCTGCCCCTGAGCGACTTTAAGCTGCAATTCACACTTCTGTTCTCAGCCCGAAAACCTAAACTTTAGGTAAATCCCACCAAGAACCCGAGCCTGAGCCCCCCAGGTCTAGGGTTTAGGGTCAAGGCTGAAGAGGGATTTTAGGCTTCAGGCTTAATTAACTCCAGTTTCGGGGTCTAACCAGGGTTTCAGGGTTTGGAAGGGGGATTTAGGCTTTAGGCGTAAGGGGCGGGCTTCAGGGCCAGGGTTCTATAGTTTGGAGGGGGGTTGTAGGTCCTGGCTGCCTTCAGATTGACCATTACTAGAAAGGAAACAACACAACCCAAACATCGCCAGGCCCGCAACAAAAATGCATTAATTAGGCCGCCCGAATTTTGGGTCCCGGCCTGAGTTAGAAAACAAACGCATTAAAGAAACCCAGTGTATTAAACGGGCCGCCACATTAACTGCAGCAGAGCATCTCACAGAATCTCACAGCCTATTCCTCGGCAGGCTTCATCTTCATCATGGTTTAGACATGTTGCCGCGGTTGTGTGTATGTGTGCGTCTCGACTGCAGCCGCTGATGCTCCAGTATTGTTCCGTGCAAGACGGTGCAACACAAGATGTAACTGCGAAAGCTCTCCAGCAACAGCAACGGCCGGATCCGAATGTCTGAGGTTGCGAAGCGGCTGTAGGAGCCCCAACCAGTGACGGCTATGGCGATTCTAAAGCTCTTGGACCGGCCATGGAACTCTGAGCCGTTGAAGCCTGCCAGAATGGCCGTGTTCCGGCGTCTCTTCCAGAGGTTGCAGTCCTACCATGGCTGGATCTAGAGCCCGTGCCGGGAGTGGTCATTTTCGTCGTTTGGGATAGCCACTGACAAAGGGCTGGGTGATGCTGGGTGTTTCTAGCTACTGGCCTCAGCTAGGAGGGAAGGGGAAGCGGGAAGCCTGGACTCCAAGGAGCGGAGGCTTCAGATGCGACCAGCCATCACCTGACGACTCGGACTCCTCCGAGCTGCGCAGAGTGGAGAACCCTTAAGGCCTTGAGCCTGGAAGTCGTCGCAGCACCACCAGTGCACCCTCTGCTAGCGGGGCTGCCGGAACCCAGAAACTTGGCTGGCATCAGGGCTGAACAACATGCGTTTCGATCGAAGTTCTCTAGACCAAGGTACGTAGCGCCCGGTGGACTTGATGTCTACGAAGCTTCCAACTGCATGGCAGTGGGACAGACTTGGACCTGGATGCCTTCTGCCACGACATGCCCTGGCCGTACTGAAGCAAACACTGTGCCGCGCTCGGGTGTTCTCCAAATTCCCTTCAATCTCAAACCTCGCTTTTCAACGCACGCAGAAAAAGCCTCAGGCTGCAAGCCTCCATGCCGTCAGCAAAACGTGGTTTTCCGACCACAACGCAAGGGTCTACAGTGTCGGGCTCCACTTCTTGAGTCTTCATCACTCAGTCTTGTGCATTGCCGGGATCATGGTTTGAGACATAGTTGCGGCTTCTTGCCTCTCAAAAAACTCCCAAGAGTTCACCTTATGAAGGAATGTAGAGGTGTTACAGGTGCATTATTTTTTCTTGTGCCCTCTACCTAGCGTTGTCCCCCATACCTACACTTTGCAGCTGCAAAAAGCCCTTGGGTTTGCCTCTTCCGTGCTCGCCTCAGCGGTTGAGGCACACTAAGCCGTTGAGGCTTCGGCAAGGGCTCCTGGCCGTGAGGCTGGACCGGCATTGGGAGCCCTGTAGGCCCAGGAACTTCAACCCGAAGCCGCTGTCAGCGAGCATGGCTTCCGCAATGTGTCTCCAGTGTACCAGTGTTAAATAGGCCAGAGACAGAAGCTTGCTTCCAGCTTTCCTCGCTACCGTCACACACGTCGCGAGATGCGAAGTGGATGTTGGCCTCAGGATCGGCTTGTCTACTGAAATCGTTCGGCTTGCATTCGCCGTGGTTCAGAGCTCAAGCAAGAGCTTATGCCTCTGTTGAGAGGCATGCATAGTCGCCATATTTAGGTCTACTCGTTTCGATAAGTGCAGGGCTGTGCTACCTGCTCACAATCTCTGAGCCAAACTTCGTAGAATGAAACCTCGAGAGAGGCTTCGTCGATGCCTGCATCCACGGAAGTCCAAAGGCCGCTGGCTGCAGTCAGCCTCCGCGGCCCATCTAGATACCGGAGGGTTTTGATAGGAGGGTTTTGAAAATGTCCTCGTCAACGCCTGAGTTCGGGCGGGCACGGGCGAGAACTCGGGACCGCTGACTGGAAAGTTCTTGGAGCTCTTCGCCAGGCTGCGGCCTCCCTGGCATCCAAACTGCCACTCCAAAAATCTCGATTTCTGTTCCATGAAATCGTCTTCGTTCGGCCGCGGGACTCCCCGGCAAGCTTCTAAAGGCTTCCGATGCAGAGAAGCCCAGCACCACGAAGCCTTGAAGTCCGCCCGTTCCTTTTGCCGGGCAAGCTGATCCGCGTCGCTTCCGGCTCACTGCAGAAAGCCCCGCGAGCGGCGCGCCTGCGACCCTCTCTTTGCCCCTTTAGGCTGAGGGCCTCCTTGAGCCGGGAGCTGAGCTGAAGCGGCCCGGCGGCACGGCTCGGAATCCGCTGGCGCTCCAGGCCGAGGCTGGGGCCCGGCGTTCATGCTGGGCAGGTATGAGGATCGGTCTCACAAGCGAAGAAGCATTGCTCTTCCAGCCAGAAGAGGCTCAGCCGACAGCTTAAAGTCCGAGATCCTCCTGGTCTTCACTCGAGACAGGGCGTGCGAAGCTTGCAGAGATTTGAAGTTACAGAGATTTCCGCCGATTCGCATCTTAGGGTTTTAGGGGGCTTGGGCGCCTTGGAGCAGTGAAGCCTCGGAGGCTGGTGTTTCAGATTTTGGAAACTTCCTTTGTGGTGAGCGGCACTGAGTCCCGGAGGGACTGGCGTTCACTAGTCACTAGTTTAATAAGGATGGCGAATGATGGCAACCTCGCTTCGGCTTGCTTGTGCGCTAGGTGTTATGGGATGCACAGTACAGGGCGTCGTGCAATCTTGCCTCAAGACACGAACACGTCGCGAACTTCACTTGAGTTGAGCCTCCTGGTCTTGCACCTTGTGCAAGTCTAGACGAGTGGACGTTCTGCAAATGCTGGAAGAGGCAAAAGCCTTAGAGCACGCGCTCCGTACTTTGCTAGGCGTGGCCATCCTACAGCCTGCATTCAAGGTGCCGTCCGGGTGTCCAGGACATATACAATTGCAAAACCCCTGGCTAGAGGTGAGGGATGTGAGGTACGCGGTATAGGGTTCAGGGCTTAAGTCGCCATCCCTTGCCTCTCACTGACCTTGATGGCCAGTGGACAACTGCAAAGAACCTTGAACACACTTGGCAGGCTCCAAGAAGCCTTACAGCTTCAGATATTTCTCTCAGCCCCTGGCTCTTCACTTGCACCGAATGCAGCGTGAAGCTTCGTCTTCCAAAGCTCCACGGATGAGGCCATCGAGTTTCTGCATATTGAGCCGACGTCAAGGTTTCGTGCTTTTCCGATCATGCGCCTGAACCGCTGATCATGTGAAGTGGGATAATGGTGTCATGTATTGTCACTCGCTGGCACCTGATTCGGTTTCGCAGTGCCTGACTACCGCAGGCTGCCTGACAATGGTCTCCGTTTACCCAGCTTCTGCTTCTCGATGTCGTGCTAGTAGCTGGGGCAAGGCGGCCGTCGTGATCTCGGCTTCGGGCAACCCACATCCCAACGGTCCAGCAGCGGCGCTCCCTTGAAGCGTTGGCAAGGGGCTTTGGCCGCCGTGCTGGCTGCGAATGCCTTGGCCGCTGCTTGATGACGGCAAAAGACTGTGTTGGCTGGACTCTGGAAGTCAGATGCTGAAGGTGGGCTTTGCCTCCACGCTTCCTTGTCACTGGCGCAGACTGTTCAGGCCCAGATGGGCTCTGCAGAGACACCGTTGTTTTAGCCACGGCTGAATTCGGAGCTCCGAGCCCGAATGCACCGCCTTGCAGTCGACAGGCTCGCTGGCTGAAGCTTAAGCCCACAGCTGTGCCCCAGGCCGCCTAGCAGCCAGTGTTGATTGGGTCCTCCTCGCCCAGACCTGCCAGCCTCGGCATCGGAGCGACATATGCGGTGCAGCTTCAATCCTAGTAAAAACGAGTTTGTCGTAAAGTTTAGGTTTTGAGGGCTTCGGGTCCAGCGCTTCGGGCGTGCTTCGCCTCGCAGACCGTTGGCCTGTGTTTGCCAGCAAAGCGGATGAAGGTACCCTGAAGGTTGCAGCTGTGCCTATGCCGATATGTGTTTTGTCAGGCTTGGAGTTGATAAGTGCCTTTCGAGTCTGCATCTTGCTCTCCCGATTCGTCGGAACTGGTCTGTAGCCGGAGCTGACCCCAAATAGATGGCCCGAGGCAGCCACGAATGAATTTTCAAATGGTCCATTCATCTGAAGTTGGAATCACAGCATTGTGAAGCTCCGTTTTGGGAGTTCGGCTTCAAAAGACAAGCTTTTGACCCTAAAGCGTGGTTCGTTGTATGTCATGCGTTGTTCAGAAGTCCTCTCACGGAGTCTGATTAAATTGTTGTGCTGGCTGCAATGACCTAGCGCCAAGCCCAGCTTAAACCCGAAACCCTGTACTGCCTCTGCCCCGAAGCATGAGAGGCTCCATTCGCAGGGCTGTCACCACTTAGGCTTAGAGCTTGAGACTGGGAGTGCTCAGGATTGGCATCGTGTTCTTTGGCTTCTTCTCCTGCGTTTTGCCTCATTACTGTAAGAACCAAAGCTCCCCGAGCCATGGCTCGTAAAGGCCGAAGGGGACCCAGTGACAGGACAGCTTTGTTTGTTGGCAGCATCGCAGGAGGCTCCTTTTTGACATCATAAGACCTAAGCCGCCTAAGCCGCAGCCTCAGGCTCTTGACCCGACTGACACGCCTGACACACCTTGATCTGCTTGGGACCAAGAGCTCTCAAGATGGAAATCCGGCGTTGGCCGCACCCAAGGCGCTTTCCGGCCTGAACCACGTCTTCAAACGGATCCGATCACCGCGAAGCACGAACCTTCCATGATTCCCTTCGTCCTTGAGGGAAGCCCTCGGCCATCTCAGAGAGGGGGTCTTCTGATCCTCTTACCGTGAGTCTTCTTTTGTTAAGTCCAGCTGGGACTTGAGTGTGAGCAGCGCTCACTTCGGACCGTGGAGTTCGGTGTTTCCTGGAAGCCAGAGTAAAATGCCTCACACTGTGCCTTGACAGGGACCTTCCAGAGTCACCCTCGCTCCATGCAAACTCTGAGTCCTGCGGTGCTTTGTCAGCCGTCTGCTGCACGGTCAAAATCTTGGCGATTCCTTCTTATGGAAAGTGATATCAGGCGCGGCTCTGGCCGGTCAAAGCTGCACCAGGGCGGCATCCAGAGGTGTCACAGCTTCGGTTCGGTAGTTCGGCGGTTGGTTGGAGGTTTCAGCGCTTGCTCTGCATGCGATGTGGGCGACACGCCTTGCGTCATTGACCTCCGGTCGTGAAGCCATGGCATCACCTCCAGCATCCCTCACACCAGCGCAGCTGGCAGCGTCAAGCATCGAAGCGCATGTGTTTTTCAGTCGGTGGGCAGACCAAGGCAACAATGCACCAGCTGGAGCGGGGGCACCCCGGGCTTCACGTGCGACGAGCAAATGCCGATGTAGTCTCAGGAAGGGTCACACCCAGCCCGCCACCTTTGAGCTTTCCACTTGCTTGGAAGAAAAGACCACATTACCTTAGGGCAGAGTGCCCTGAGCTTGGGCAGGAAACTGCAGGAAGCCTCACTATCAGGCGGACATCATGACACCTATCTTATGGTCTGAACAGCGACATTTCTTGTTGGGGGGTCATTCTTTTCAGCTTACCATTCTGCAGTGCTTTGAACACTGCATAAGGCATGTCCACATGTAACAGGTTCAGGTTCAGGTAAAGGTTGGGAGGTCCAGGTGAGGGCAACATTTTGTTTCTGTGGTAGCCTCGCCTTTTGCTTCAACAGGTCAACTTCCCGATCTATGAACGTCTTCATGTCCGGAAGTAAGTAAGGACTGCAATCAGTTCACATGAGTTTCGCATGGTTGAGGTTTAGCAAAAGTTCGTAGTCGGAAAAAGGGACAAATAAATATGAGTGTATTGGCAGCACTTGGTTTGACGCCGGCGCAAACCGGTGTGAATGCTGTTTGCAGATGAAGATGCACAGCACGGCAAGCCCCAGACCCAAGCCGTAAACAAAATCATGCAACTGAATCACTAAATTCCTAAAGCCCATAAGCATATAAACTCGAACCCGGTGTCACTATCGTCAGGGTCCTTGTCGCATACTACAACAGACAGCACATCTGGTTCTCCGACTGTTTAGCAGTACATGTTGAGACTTACATCCGCTCGCAGTTTGTGCTCGAGCCGTTTCGTTCGAAACCTTTCCGTGGCTTTGGCATCGACCGCCTGAGCAATGAAGACCGTGCTGCCTGGCGACGTAGTTTCGAGACTTGTGAGCTGTATAGCCCAGGAACAAGTATCAGCGAGTCGGGTTCAGTGTCCATAGGGATGTGTTGAGGGCTGCCTTAAACAGGCCAAACACATCTAATGCCTACATGCTGGATGCGCATTTTTGCGGTACTTAAAAAGGTCAAAGCAGATGTAGACATTGCGTGTCGAAAACCCCGTAAGCTTGTCAAGCCCTTTCAATCCCTTTGAAAACGTTTGCACAACTTCTAGATTCCAGGACCAGCTCGAACACTTGAAGCTCATGAGAGAACTTCAGAAAATAGGGGACCGAATCAGTCATCCCTGGTATAATGAAATCAGATAATGAGAAAGTGATAGATGTTTGAATAAGCCCTCACATCCAAAGTTGTCACAACCCACCCAGGATCCTGAGCAGTAGACACCGCATCCCTCCTTGACCCTACGCCCTCAACTTTCAAAGCATGACTGTATAAGCCCTAAAACCCCGAACAGGAACCGGCACTCAGCTGTTCTTCTCGTGAAGCGGTACTGGCGCTTGAGAACAGCACGGTTTAGAATTTAGAGCTAAATCCTGGGCGCGCCTAGAGTGTTTCTGGAGCATTTTCTGGGAGAGTTGTCTGGTGCCAGATCTATACAAGACCTTGTTTGGGGACCTCGCTTTCTGAACTAAAGTCTGTGATTGCGGTTTCTGGGTCCAGGTGTGACTTCATGGCACGGCGTAGTCCACAGAGGCTGTTGGGGTATGGGGAGCAAGTGAAGTAAGATGCCAGGCAATCCGCGCCCAAGCCCACGTCAACCCTAATGTCGCAAACCGTTAAGAACTCTAAATCCCAAAGCCTACAGCCTAGGCTCCTCGTCCTCTTGCTGGGACTCCAGCAGCCGACTTGGGCCAGCAAGCTGATGCACTCGTAGCTCGGATTGAGCTTCGTGCTCAGAGCGTTAAAGGTCAAAGTCTGGCCATGCACCGGACATGCACCAATATGACAGATTCGAACTGGCAGGGTCGCCACGCTGGTTGTGAATATGCAACCTGCTGCCCTGAACCCCAAGGCCTCATTGCACTTGTTTGTTTCGTGAAAGCGCAGTCTCCTCTGGGAGTGACGCATTCTGACCACAGATGCAGTATCAACGGCAGTTGATGGTATAGGTGGATAGGCTGCTCAGCAATGCCTTGGGACTGCGATCGCTACGCACGCGGCTTGTGGGAAGTTGAGCTCAAGCGGTACCGCCGTACTGTGTATGGAGAGGTGGATCCGAACGCAGTAGGAGGCGGAGTGGCTTGTGGAATTCGATTTCAGCGCGGCCTCCATTGAGACTAGAGTCTAGAGCTTGTTAGTTGACTATGGCTTGTTGCTTAGATGTGTTATGTCTGAAGTTGTTGGGACCGCGTTGTCTGCAAGGACGTTAGACTCAGCACAGCTTTGTCGATCTCTTGGCATGTATGAGCCGATGCCCAGGTCGAACCCCAACAGCCTCAAACCCCAAACCCTATGATATACTTATTATACCTGGAACCTAAACTCTGTAGCCTGCTTTGGGTGCTCGCGGTGTTGCACGGGGTAGCTCGTGAGGTAAGGAGTGTCTGAGACTATAATGTGCACTCTCGTATGCGATGGCTGTTGCGAAGTCTGAGTGAGGGAGGTGTCTGAATTCAGATTCGCTAACTAATGGTTCGTTGTGGGCCCCTCCCTCTGCAGAAGACTCTGCCTGTAACGTCTCTATGGACGCTGAAGTGTGAGATGGAAGAGAGTCGATAAACAAACCCCGTAGGCCTCGGCATTCCTTAGCCGAGGTACCACCATGCGGACACATCGGCGACCCTGCCGGACGCCGATATTGCACTACATTCGTTGTGCAAGCTTTCTGCTACCTACACGTTCTCCATCTGCACAACGGACAGTCACCAGACTTGTCAATCATTGCAAGCTTGGGCTTGGCTAGTCAGCTAGTCACAAGGCCAGTTTGACCCCATTCTCAAGTCTGACTGGGACGTAGATTTCTGAGACTTCAATGCGGCACTAGCGGTGTCACGCAGCCAATGTTGCTGAGGCTTCAGAGTCCAAGATGATTAGTCCCACTGGGCCACGATATACCCCAAGACCCTACTATGTCAGGCGCAGAGTTTTGCGATGAGTGCCGGCAGGAGACCGGCGAAGCACTCCAGGAGGATGACGAGCAGAGTGAGGACATTTGCTTCGTCGTTGTGAACCACCCCAATGGCCCTATAACCATGAACCCGGAGCCCTATAAACCCAAAGCTAGACAAATACTATAACGCCGGTGCCATGGATCAGCCATGGATTTGGGATCTTCGTCTCCGTTGCTCTATGTCCGACTAGCAGCACTCCTGCCACTTTGTTGAACCGCAGAGGGCATCCGAAGCCCTGAGATACACAATGAACAAACGAAGCATGGGAAATCCGAGATGTGGGGTGCATGTACAAATCACACAACGTTAGTTGTTTTTGTAGCTTCCCGCATGGTGGAAACACAACAACACATCCATACGACGTGCTGTGGGATCGAAAACTGCAGAATGCATGATGAAGACTGGCAATTGTCGGGATTCCAGGGCAGTCGTAATGCGTGGGATGGCACATCAACTAAGAATGCGAAGTGCTTCTCTACTAAAAGCTGTTGTGACGAGACCGGAATCCTTTCATTGGGAAACTCGTTATTACCAAAATTTAAAATGACCTTCAAGGCAACCCCAAACGTCAAGAAGATAGAGAATCCGCAGGAAGCCCAACGAAAAGCCACTGCTTCGTCGTACTCATGACCAGTGTTGGAGAGTCCAGGAGACCTGTCAAAAGGCAAAACATTCTGTTAAGAACAAGACGAAAACGGGTATCCACTCAGGAAGTCGCCTCATGATTGTTCAATTTCTTGTTGTGTGTTCCTTCCCGCTCGTGTTCCCTATCGCGCTCACATCTACCTGTCGCGTACTAGAACGGCCACCCTCGCACGAACGGGCTTTCCTCTTGTCTCTCATTCTTCTTTGGGGTGCCAGAGTCGAGGGATGGCCAGGATGGACGAATGGCTTTGTTGTAAAGACATGCGTCCACGTGCTCGTCCGAAGTTCCTCGCTTCCTGCAAGTTCGGGCGCATTATAGGACCGACATTCAACACACAAGCGATACTGTCAGGTTGACACAGGTTGATCGGTGTTTCAGAGCTTGTGGTTTACAATGGCAATAGCTGGTGACGTGATGAACTCAGACTTCATCTTGCTCCTTCTCTTGCCGGTCGGCATGCAGTCATGACGTCGTCCTGAAGGAGCTGACTGCAGAAGCGGTGCAAAGGGGGTTCATGCCGTTGCGACTGTTTCAACCAGACCGATTCTGCGTCAGACTGCAACGTCCGCATCCGGCCCGCTAGCTGTGTGAATTGCTGCTTTCCCCGCTCGTAATCCCGCCGCCGCCGCGGGCCGTGCTCCTGCTAATGCTGCTGCTCCAACATCTCCACAAACAGAGTTGTTCCAGCAATGAGGTCTGCTTGGTTAGGATAGCCTTTCGAGTTTAGGGGTGGTTGTTTGGAGCAACCCTTTGCACGGGAGGAGTCCTTCGTGGCGAGCAGCTACTTTCATGAAAGCCGGCTTTTGGTGGCTTATTGTGTGCATGCTGGTCTAAATTGTCATGGATGGGCGCCATAGATTCCAGCTGTAGAAAGTTGGGCTACGGATCATGGGCGTGGTCGGAGACGCACCTTGGGGGTTGGGCAAGGTGTTTATTTCTGGATCTTGATGTTGCGGCTTGCGCTCCTAGCACGCTTGCTCACAGGACATGGAGACTGAGAGCAAGCGGCTTGAAGGGCGGGTGTGGGTGTGGGTGTCTGTCTGTCTGTCTGTCTGTCTGTCTGTCTGTCTGTCTGTCTGTCTGTCTGTCTGTCTGTCTGTCTGTCTGTCTGTCTGTCTGTCTGTAGGCCATCAGGAACCTGTGAGGAATGCATGTCCGTCCAACTCCGATCCCCCGATGATTCAGGGTGGGATGAAGGCTTCCAAGGTTCAAGGCTGTGAGTTGAGAGCTTCTGCTGTGTAGATGCAAGGCAGAGGCGGCGGGGGGGAGGGTGGATGCTAAAGTTGTGTGTTCAGGCTTACATGTAAAGAGTATGAGAAGTAGAACTTATCCCGGCGAGGCGACGATACAGTGATGCTGCAGGAGGAGTGCAACAGGGCTTCGTCCGGAGGTTAATGATGTTGTTTGTGCCAACGCTCAGTTTTCTTTAATTGCTGACATGACTGGGGTTCTTCAGGCCGGCATATAGCAATCTTCCTCCGTCTGCGCTGAGTTCCAGGTTTAGGAACATACTTTCCACGACCTGTTTGTAGATTGTCCTCGTTTGCGCGCCACTTCTGGGAGAGAATTTAGGTTGTGTGTCTCAGCAACTGGGATTCACCTGCCGGATCGTCAACAGTTGGAGTTGTCGGCTGTTGGCATGGGGCTGCATCCACGCACCACGGCGTCTCGTTTCCCAGTTCCACTTTCAAAGATGTGAGCACCGAAGAGATTGCATGCCCAGGATTTGGGGCTGCTCCTGGCGGCCAAATCCTACAGCTTTTAAGAGCCATGAACGAAGTAACCTCGTCTTCCATCACCGTTCAGGAGATGCAAGACGATCTCCAGCAAAGTACCGGGGCTATGGCTGTACTGGCACAGGCAGAGAGACACATGGACACGGCTGACCTGGCGATTGCCAGCCTTTCTGTTGCTGCTTTTTAAGGCTCCAGCTGCAACCAACCTTGCCGAACTTTTACGGCCCATTGCATTGCGCTCCGGCAATGCTAGCTAGTCGAGTAGCAGCTTTGGGCAGAAAGTCTCCGTCATGCGTCTCCGGAATCTCATTCCCATCATCTTGGCCCTTGCCCTGGAATTATTTATTACTGTATTGGCTTGTGCTTAAGGGCTTGCTCAGGCTAATGCATTTCTGCAATCGTAACCTCCGTGGAAAAGCTAGCCAACAACTGTGTGCTGCCTTCGTCCAGCCTTTACGCCTACGCCTACACGAACTCGTGCAACGTTGAGTCGAGGGGTAGTCTAGGTGTTTTTTCGGCAAATTGACTTCCGCCTGTGCACAATCGGCCAGACACGGTGCTTCAGTTGGTGTGAACACTTGACAAGAAAAACTAGTGTAAATCCTGCATCCCGGATGTCACAACCCGTGAAGCATCAAAGCTCACGTGCTTTTAAGACAGCAAGCGTGGCAAAACCCAAAACAAGTCCCCTTGAGGCGGAGCGCCTTTCAGCCGAATCCCGCCACCGAAGCCTGCAAAAGATTGCGGGGTCCTCGGACAAAGATGTTTCCACCGAGTGTCAATCTGAGCACCGGATGGTGTCGGGTGCAAAAAAGGTCTTCGGGGTCCCAAATTTAGCACTCGTCTCGGAGCTGAGCAGGTTGGATCCCTCAATCGGCAGCTGTCCTGGAGATTTGCATGTAGTATCTTGTAAAGCAACGTCCCGGACATACAGTATGGTGTTGCGGTGAGGTTGCCGGGAGTTCAAATCGAATTGCTTGGCATTTAAGCTTGTCAGCTTGTGTCTTGCCTAGCTTCAAGGCGCGTTTAAGCACCCACGGCCCCCAGGACTCCTAGGTCCTGGACCCCCGCCTCGAAAGAGCCACATGTTGCAAGCATCCGCGCGGGCAACAAAACAGCGAATGGGCTTCATTTTGGATAGGGGTCGAGAATAGCCCTATGAAATGGCTAACTGCAGTTCTCTATGAACGGGTTCGGCCATTTCACAGAGGGTCATTTTATAGAGGGGAGTGGTTTGTAGGAACCCTGGGTGCTCAGTCTATAGATTTGTTGTGTTTCCCTGCGAAAGTCTGGGGTATCTCAGAGGGGTCATTCTGTAGCCAGAGGCCGGTCGATAGGCTTGAAAGGACATCGATTGTAGCACCGTGCGTTGCCATTGTTCCGGGTGACACCCGGGAGTCACTCTGTAGGAATTCTCTCATGGTGGATTATTGGAGCTTTCAAATTTCATAGTGGCAAGCGCCCTTCACCTGTTCCTCCTCACTGCGAGCCGCGTGGACATGCAGAGAGAGAAACAGAGAGCGACAGAGGGACAGGCAGACCGCGCAGCACATCACAATTCGCGCAGCAGAGCAGAGGCAGCTCTAGGCAGGATGGCCTGGACCGTGATGTGCAAGACTCGCCTTCATGGGCACCGGTACAGACTGCCGGCGCCTCACTCCCATCCCTGTATAGGCAGACTTGGCCTTGCATGCTTTTGTACCACCGAGTCTACTACCGATTCGCTTCGTCATCCCTCGTGAGTCCGAAATTTGCTGCTTGGGAAAGGCCAGGTACTCTTCATTTCTTGCATGATGTCAAAACTTCCTTGGGAGGCAAATGAGTGGGCCTCGAACAATGGTGCTCCGATTGTCCCGGCCCCGATGGTCGGCATTGGCTGGCTGAGCAGCAGCTGCGGAAACATTCACCCCGCATAAGGTAGAACAGTCTCTCCGGGAGAAGGCTTCGAACAACAAGGATCACTGGGTGAGAGACGAGGAGACATGCCCCCAGCTTTCTGAGGTTGGCTTGGCAGAGCTTTCGCAGCGTGTGGCGGCGTACTTTTCCCTAGAGTATGCGCATGTCCGATCTCCGAAGACGTGCGGCGATCGCATCTGGAGGGATCTCAAAGAGATGCTGACGGAGATCCAGGGCGGGAAGACGAGAGCCAAGCTCCGTCGACTGTTGAAGGGCGTTGCTGAGGCGACTGAGCGTGCGGTTCTAGAGTGAGCTCCCCGCCAGCATCCAGCAGTGTTTACCGAGTCCGGTAACGCTCCGAACAAGGTCCAGCAAGGAAATCAGTAAGCATGGATCTGGCAGGGGTGGGGCACCAACACAAGCTCCCGCGTTGTCAACTTCGGACTGCCGTGGTAGTGCATGGAGTTCAGCATCGCGCTTGTGTTAGTGTCTAGCGGCTAGCGAGGCGAGACGACTTTTCGGTCCCAGGGTCTTGTCGGTTACACCTCGCTTTGTCTGGTCGTGCTCAGGGGAATGTCAGACTTGGACACGGGGGAAGAAAAAAGTGCCAGGCGGTGTC